ACCACCACTCATACATGTAACAAGGCCTCGTGGAACGTTTGGCAAAGTGGAGTATTAGGGACTTTTAGATTGAGTGGACGAGAACGGCCTGAACGTCCACTGATCGTGCGTGTCTATGACAAGCCGTTTTTTAACATCTATTCCTATTTCTTGAATTATCATTACTTTACAACAGAAAATAATTTCTTGATATCAAGAAATAGGAATAAATGTTAAAACGGCTTGCCATGGGCACGCATGATGATCAGTGGACGTTAACTAAATGCCGTTCTTGTCCACTTAAACTAATAGTCCCTATTAACGATCAGGTAGAGCATAGCTGGAGGAGCGTAAATTGGCGTCGGGTCCAGGGGGCTTTGCCTCGGCGGGGGCCAGGGGGCGGAGCCCACGGAAGCTCAGGGGTTTTAGGCATTACTATCATTATGGTCAGATAAGCATATTTAGATACCTTATTTGTGACATTGGTAGGTCTCTGATTGGTGTGGGGTCCAGGGGACTGAGCCCCCGGAAGCTCTGGGGTTTAGGTATTCTATTACGGTCAGATAAGCATCAAGAGTTTCATGGGGGCAGAGTTTTTGTGACACTGGCAAGTAATTTATTGGCTTGAGGTCCAGGGAGCGGAGGCCCCAGAAGCATTACATTACGGTTAGATGAGCATCCAGGGGCCAGCATTAGGGCCCTTGTTGAGGTCCAGGGGACAGAGCCCCCAGAAGCTTAGGGGATTTAGGCACTTAATCACAGTCAGATCAGCATCCAGGGGCCCTCCTTAGGGAGGGGAGGGGCTAAATTCAGTTTGTTAATGAGCATTGACCTAGACATGGGGAGCCAATTGAACGTTGCCCTTGTTATATATTTAGGGGTTTTGACTTCGTAGATTCTTTCTCCAACTGGCTCTGATGAGAGTGGGATCAAAACGTTCAGTGTGTCTTTCGGATGTGTTTCTTCACCGGCTGGTATAGTTTCAAGAAAACTGATTTAGGCTTAGCGTGGTAAAAAGTCAGATGAAAGGAATTGCCCGATTTCAAAATTCAGTACTGCTTTTAGAAGCCAATATCAAATTAATTTTCAGAGAACTAAACGTATGAGCATCCCTCGATGCTGTTATCGGCAATTAATTCAGGTAAATATGCATTTTTATTTTCAATTGTATACGGGCCCTCCTTAGGGAGGGGAGGGGCTAAATTCAGTTTGTTAATGAGCATTGACCTAGACATGGGGGGCCCTCCTTAGGGAGGGGAGGGGCTAAATTCAGTTTGTTAATGAGCATTGACCTAGACATGGGGAGCCAATTGAACGTTGCCTTTGTTATATATTTAGGGGTTTTGACTTCGTAGATTCTTTCTCCAACTGGCTCTGATGAGAGTGGGATCAAAACGTTCAGTGTGTCTTTCGGATGTGTTTTTTCACCGGCTGGTATAGTTTCAAGAAAACTGATTTAGGCTTAGCGTGGTAAAAAGTCAGATGAAAGGAATTGCCCGATTTCAAAATTCAGTACTGCTTTTAGAAGCCAATATCAAATTAATTTTCAGAGAACTAAACGTACTAAAAAATAATGCTGATAGGACTTTTTATTCCCTCGATGCTGTTATCGGCAATTAATTCAGGTAAATATGCATTTTTATTTTCAATTGTATACGGAGCCCTACAGAATTGTTTTTAATAAGTCGTTCCTACTACGTATAAATCATTTCCACCACGTACAAGGCGTTCCCACCACTTATATTATCTAACACGTGGTGGCATAGTATGTGCAGCAATAAAGCCCCAACTTAAAAAAGGTAGAGTTTATGTCTATTCACCCTTTAGTAGTCAAAGTGAGGTATGCTACCCTATATAATGATCTGTTGTTAAAAAGTACATGCATACAAGGCATATCATGATTAAAGCAGATGACCTTCATTTTGAGTTATATTGATGTAGGACCATTTTGGTTCATAAAGGAACTATAAAACATTTTTTTTTTTTTTTGTATAATGATGGTGTTAAATTTAATGACTATAATATGCCAAATATCTTATATATTTTGAAACACTTTGCACTTTGTTTTGATATTGGATCTTCTTGTCAAGATTTTCCCTAGTTGTCATTGAATTTTTTTTCTCTACATGTTTCTATAGAAGAGAACCCATGTTTGTTTTATTAACAAGGGAATTTTTGTTTACTGCATGTGTTGAGTTTGAATCATATTAGACCCAGGAATTCCACAAAGATGCACAGAACATTCATAATATAATGTTAAGACCTGGGGGTTGGGGGTGTACTCAGATTTGGTTTCGACGGGAATGTGCCGCTGAAGCCGCAAAACCCATCCCATTTTAAGGTTCATTTTGGCGGAAAAGGGTACCCATTTTTAAGACTTTTTATTAAGAAAATTTACCTTTTTGTGCACTTTAGCGACGAAATGGGCGAAACTATTTAGTGTAATTAGTAGAATGTCAAAATCATACCCCCTGTTTAGGAATCTTTTTTGCGAAAAGTCACCCATTAGAACGGAACACTCCCGTATACCCCCCCCCCCCCCCCCCCCCCCCCCCCCCCCCCCCCCCCCCCCCCCGGTGTTAGAGGATATTGGATTAAGTGGGTTCATGAAGTGACATGAAAGAACATTCAGGGTGGTGTGTTTTAATGATGTTGGATCCAAGGATATATCATGAAGATCCAAGAGAATGTTCCGCATGTCCCCTCCCGGGCTCCGTATAGGATGTTCCAAATTCTGAAAGAAAAATCAAATAATGCCCAGTTTTTGTAAACTTAAGCATTACAAATCCTTTTTTTAGGCCTCTGGATACCCATTCCTTCATGCCTGAAAGTGCCGAAACCCATGAGCTACCGGGGGCCAGGGGCTTCGCTCTAATGGACTCTTGATTGCAGTTGTCCCACATTGAAGCTTTGAAAACTTGGCAGGTCATGAAAACTACTCCCTAAGAACAATAACCCCGAGGAAAAATTACCCCCAGAAAATTAATCCTCAAGGACGACCATCCCCCGAGGACAATTCCCCTCGGAAAGTCACCCCCTAGGACAATACTCCCCCCCCCCCCCCCCCCCCCCCCCCCAACAAAAAAAAAAAAAAAAAAAAAAAGAATTTCCCCCTCCTGTTAATCCCTGATAATTAGTTGATTTTAATACAAGCATTTTTTTTCGATGGGTAGTTGTCCTTGAGGGGGGGGGGGGATTTAAACTTAAAGTCGGAAAATTACCCCCGAGGACGGTTGGGGTAATTGTCTTTTTGGGGGGGGGGGGGGTATTTGTCCTAGAACCACTTGGTCTACATGTTTAGAATGTCATGGCAACGAACAAAAACAAATTATTACATCTTGGTTAGTCGTGATATTAAAGATTTTAAATATCTTTCTTTTGAAGGAAGAAATATACCCCCAATTCTCTTTTAGAGCGTCAAATGATACTCACAATATGCTTCATCAACTTTTTATTCGATTTTATTAACATATTTATTTTTTGGAAATGTGTAAAGATATACAGGAAAATATCTTTAAAATAGCCAATATACATCAAAGGGTTCGTTGAGAAATTAGATATTTACTGACCGTTTTAATGAAACGTGATCGACTGGGATTCGCCCAAGTTTAGACGGAAGAAATATTTTACCAAGAGATAGTAAAAATGATCAAGGCCCATCCTTGAAAAATCTTCCTCTTCTTTATCGCCAAGTTTCCTCCGCTATTTCTTCCAAACAATTACTCAAAACATATATGTTCACGTTGTCATTTGGTTTCATTGAACTGAAAGTAGCTCCTTACCATATATGTTAAACTTAAAGTCAGCATTAAGATAATTATGTTGTAATTCATGGGTGTCGATCCGTAACTGATACCTATTCATCAGGGGGGGGGGGATGATCTATTCATTCATCCCCCCCTGATGAATAGGTATTACGTAAGGATCGACACCCATGTTGTAATTATTACTAGATGTTTTCTTAGGTTGCCTAAGCAAACACACTGTGATTTCAATCATTTTATTTGAAATTTGTTTGGTATCTTAGGCTAATTTTTTCTTTGTTCATTAAAGTATTATAGTTATATTCATAATTTTTATTTTATAAGCTCTTAGTTTAATGCTTTAGGTTCAATATGTTAATGTTGTTTATATATATTGTACCTTCTTGTGTAATCATATTATGCATTTGCATGTATAGCGCCATGTGCGTCATGGCTGACGGACCTGGTGTGTCTTGCTTTTTCTTATACATTCAGAAAACATGGCTCCTATTCAGGGGCCCCTGGCCCTCTGAGAATAGCTAATAAGGAGGGAGGGTGAGAGAGAGAGAGAGAGAGAAGGGGGGGGGGGCCCTCCGGCTTGGGTGGCCCCAACCCCCTAGATAATTCTTGGGGAAGAATATGTTTCTCGTAATTACCACTTATCTACATTTAATTCAAAAATATACATCGATTTCACTCTTACCCTTTGGCTTTGATTCGTCCTCATATCATAGTCATACCCAGAATCCAATGACGACTTCTTATTATCTCAAAACTTCAAATGGACAAAAATAATAACAAAACACTCCTGTGAAATCATGGATTGCACAAACCATGTAATAGATCATTGCTTTACCTTCTTGTATTGTTGTGGTTTTTATTTTTTTCTTGCTGACACTATCAGTGAGCAAATAATGTTTTAATGAAACAATTGATATTACCGTTGAATTATCTGAAATTTACTGTATGGGTGCTAATGTTTAAACTTATTCTAGCTCTACAGCCAGCCGGGTAAAAACACACATTGTTTATAAACCATTGAATTAGTGAGCAAATGGCAATCGATTAGCTTAGTATTCTATGAAGTTCAAAAGTCCATGGAATGTATAAAGTGAGAGGTTGAAAGGATACCTCTTTTGGCTGTTGAATGGATATGTCATCATGGATCAAAGGGGCAAACGTTTAGTGTAAAAGGTGCACACTTTAAAAAAGAAATTGAAATGACTTATCTAGAGAAGGGACATTGATATCGTTGAAATTATTGAAGTTATTATAGTTTAAAAGAGGCAGTCATCAAAGGTGAAAATGGGGCACTAATACAAATAGAAAAAGGAAATTCATGGGCACTTCTCAAAGTAAAAAGGGGGCCTATCAATTTTTTTTTATTATCAGAGGCATTATGTCTGAGGTAAAAGGGACACTTCTGAGAAGGGGGAAGGGACACTTTTTAGGAAAAAGGGGCACCTTTGGGATACTTGACGGGAGCACTGTGCCACAAGCCCTTGAGAAAGATAGAGAGAGAGAGAGAGAGAGGGAAAAGGGGAAAAGAAGGCAACTTGAAATATAGTTTAATAGCCCCACTCAATAGTTTCTTGCACATCTTTTAACATCAATGATGACTTTTCTCTCATCATTACACTCGTCTCCTTGAGTTTCATTAGATAAACATGTTAGCGCTTGATAGTGAACTGTTCTAAAGTTAACAATAACAACAGTCTCTTTTTTTATGTTACCAGTTTCCACCAGGCCACTTTATATAAGATCTGTTCAGATGGCTGGACCCAAGCTACTCAACGGATCAAATGGTAAAGAATAGTTTGCAAACATATTTTCTAGTTTCAAGTTCCTGCGGTCTTATCGAATAATTTGTTTGAACAACTCGACCAGAACAAATCCGCTCCAATATCGGGTACACCACATGCTCTTCAAAGCATGGACGCTTTTCCACTGACCTCTACGTCCGCTTACCACCTAGCGATGGTGTCAGAAGTTTTGATATGGGCGAGAATTTTATTTTAAATTATCGAGTTGCTCAAGATTCACATCAAATTATCATATAATAGTACCACATTAAGCCGTTTTTGAAGTATTGTTACATATGATATTTATTGGTATTGGTTACTTCACAAATGTGTCAAATTTGGTGATTAAATTTGGTGATTTTAGACAAAAGTGCGCAATTTTCAGCGATTCCGGCCTACTATACATTTACATATAATATGTACCTACATACATTCCTACAAATCACCGATTCTAATTGAAATATGTCTTGGATTGGTTAGTTATATATCTTGTCACGGTAGTACGTGTATGAGTTACACTTGTCGATAAGTATAGACAACAGTAAACAAAATACTATCCATACATCATCCATGACACGAAACCGACCGCTTTTTATTTATTATTTTTTTTAACGTTAGCGTTGTTTTCCTTCAAATTAACAGTTACTTGTAAATGTACTCTCTGGTTTCTTTTAATATAGCAGCAGACGCTCCCAGTGTCGGAACAAAGCTAACTGCTTCTCTTATCAACGGCTCTACAGCCATCTTGCCCTGTCATTACACACAAAGCGTATACGGGATCTACTGGACTAAACAAAATGGCCACAGCGAACCTGGAGGAGATACTCTCGTGCATCTGGACACATACTTTCACGTCGGCAGTAGGTGTGGCCGTGGGGTTGAGGAGGGACGCTTTAACATCAGTGATGACTTGTCTCTCATCATCAATCCCGTCAAGATGCACGATGGTGGTCGGTATTCCTGTAAAGTTTCTGATATCACTTCGGGCATGACTTACTCAAATGACACTGATGTGACGGTATATGGTGAGATTTTATCATTATTTTTTACTAAAAGGAGGAAAATCGAGTTTAATCTGCCTCGGAGGTATAGACCGGTAGTGGTAAAATTGTGATTTAAAGGTTTTGGGTGCAACATTTCCATTCAATATTGTTAAACAGAGGTTTAGATGGCAATACTCTAACCTAAATTCGCAAAAAAGCAGAAATATATGCCCGAATATGTTCAATGTTGAAGTGCATTCACGATATCTATCCAGGCCAGATCGATATGATAATTACCAAATATATCAATTAGTAGGCGGTTTCCTGGCAAAATTTGTATCATCATGTATTAGTCAAAACATATTCTTTCACATGATTGGTAATAAGAGCTTCCATTTCATTTTTTGAGAATGGGGCCCTTCCAAAATTGCATGGTCTATACCTTTAAACTTAATGATGGAACCCTGCCCCCCCCAGACACGCACACACACACACACACACGCACATGCACCCACACAGACACACCCGCAAACAAACACACACACACACACTCTGGCACGTGGAAGAGCAAGTTTCCTTCCTGTAAGAATTCATTTCACAATATATGTCTTAATTGCCCTTTTGAAAAGTGTGACGCCTGACAAGCTGCCTTCCCTATGCTCTCCTTGACTTTCATTGTTCTTACACGTTAGGCTTGATGGTAAACTTAGCTACTTCATGCAGAACTCACTAAAAGAAATTGGTGAGACTGACATTATCCATCACCACATCAACACCTCCACAGATACCCCGATACGACGACAGAGGGCTTCCCGAACTTCACCAGCGATGAGAGTGGAACTAAAGAAGCAGGTAAATGGTCTCCTGCAAAGAGGCATCATTGAGGAGTGCTACAGCCCATGGGCAAGTCCAATCGTCATGGTGAAGAAGAAAGACAACACATACCGATTTTGCTTGGATTAAAGAAAACTCAACGCAGTAGAGATCGAGACATAAAAACAATTATAACAAGGTCAGCCTAGTATTTAAATCGGTCCTTTCTCTGTTCCTCTTCGCTCCCCATTCCCTCTCACTCTCTCTCTGCTTTTTTTTTCTCGTCTGCAGTTTATGCCAAAAAGAAATACGTCACCATAAAGCCATGCGAACACTTAACCAATCTGAACCAATCTGAAGATTTGCGGGAAACACCATGTGCATACGATGTCCCCGACAACCAAACCAGATTTCAACTCAACTGTTCAGTGTCTGGAGCAATGCCGAAGGTTTCACTCACCTGGATGACGAATGGAACCAATGTCGGGATGCACTACGATCTGACGTCGATGTCCGAGGATCGTGGAGATGGGACGTTTGATCAGACGTTGGTGATAACTGGATCCGTCAATGAGACAAGAATTGGCACAGTCCTTACTTGTATGGCTAAAGGATTGTCTGTGGGCGGACTTGCAAACAGTTCTGTCATATTTGTTAAGACTGAACCCCAGAATATCCAACCAGATACTCAAGGTGAGTATGTACGAAAATCCGTTATTCGATAGGTTTATGCGTGTTGAAGACTAGGCGTTGTTTCGATTAATTACGTTATGTATGTGAATGCAAATGGTACATCTATATTACTAATACGCAAAATCGCCGCGGGGGGTCCAAAACGGTTCCTCAAAAACGTTTTTTCCCGACCCCGCCCGCCTCCGCCGTGGCGCGGGAACGGCGACACAATTCCACGAGGCCTGTCTCCCGTAACCCGCGTGCCACCTCGACCCCGCGTTCTACGTCCATGTCGTTAAACGCGGTTTCGGGGTCCCGGGGAGGACGGGCGGCCGAGAGCACGGCGGGCGTCGTGGATTGCAAAGAGGCAACGAACCCGCGAGAGCAAGTTGGCAAGGCGTGCTCCCGCCCTCTGTCTAATTATCAAAGAGAGACAAAGAGACACACGATGGACGAAAATCCACTCGCGTCAACGGGTGTAGCAAATCTAATTGCAACGGGTGTGGCGTTCCTCGAGTAAGGGATCTTACAATAGGATATTCTTTGTAGACCAGGCGCTCATAGTGTATGTGTATTACACGCTCTCAGGTCACTCACATGCACACAGTCGATTCGAGTCGAGGCGATTGCTACAACTGGCACAAACCATGGACCTATTTTCACGTAAAATCTTTACTCTGAAAATAATTATACAAATTCTGTGATCTATGCCAACGTAATCATAGTCCAAGCTTCTGTTTTATTGGTCTTTTCATGAAAACTACATCGAAATCACAACAAGAATAGCGCAAATAGATCTGTGATAGTACGCCTTGAGTCCACACGTACCATGGTTAGTAACTCCACGCACGTACACACGTGTGGTGTATTGCCACTGCACTGCAGCTGAGCGCTGCTGTCGATCGCCGGTGCTGTCGGAGCTGAGTGTGTGAGCATGGAGTAGCGGTGACCGGAGTAGCTAGGCCTGTACACATGGTACATGGTGTGAGGAGAGTAAACAACACTCTGAAATTGCTATTATTGTCCCGATTTCAATATAGTTTCGTGAATAGAGGTATGAAACCTGAGCTTAGATTACTGAATTTCGATAATCATTTTTCAAAGTAACGTTTTCACAAGAAAATCGGACGGTTGTCATGGTCGTTTAAAATCAATGCATTAAAACGTTTTTCAAAGTATGGGGGGGGGGGGGGTCAGGTAGCTCAAAGCGAGTTGAGTGCAGGCGTGGTGTCCACGGGTTCAAAGGGCTGAACCGAACCCCCGAAGGCTCGGGGGTTTTAGGCATTTTATTACGGTCAGATGAGCATATTTTTAATAACTTATTTGTGACACTGGCAGGTCGATCACTAATTGGCGTGAGGTCCATAGTAGAGTTGCGTACCAACTACGCTGAGAGTACGCTGGCCTACGTTACCTGAGGGACGCAAAGGGGTACGCAAGATGGACGCAAACAATTTAATATGTTTTAAACAATTCACGTACTTTCGGCGTAGAAACTTGACGCAAAGAGTACGCCTTTTTTACGTAACACTACGCTACCAAACTAAACAAATTATCCTTAAATGAATTAATGAAAAATTAGCCCAAGAAAAAAAAGCCCCCGAAAGTTGAAAAAGTAACCCCCGAAAATTTCCCAAAAATTTGTTATAGATCGAGCCCCCGAAAAGAAAAAAATTGTTCACTGGATTCTACGCTCACAGTCACACGCACAGTCAAGTCAATTTGTGCAATGCATGCAGCTGGCTGCTACATATTAGCACAAACCGTCCGATTTTTCGCGTAAAATCTTTACTTTAAAATTTATTATACAAATTTTGTGAACAATGCCAACAAAATCATAATCCAAGCTTCTGCTTTTTTACTTTTTCATGAAAACTACATTAAAATCACAACAATAATAATGCGAATAAATCGTACTTATCGAGATCCTACCTGACATAGTTTTTGTTACGGTGCGCCATTCATGGTCAAACAGCATAGACCCTATATTATAAAAATTGTCTGCATTAAAATAATCTAATTTTATTTTCGATAGCACATAGGCCTCTATTTATTTAACCCCCCCACCCCCGGCCCTCCCCTAGAATCCACGGGTCCTGCTAGTGTACTACTAATGCACACCTACGATTGCAATTCTAATTCTAAATTCACTTTTTGGTCGATGCCACCATCAGTCGGCGTGTCAATAAGTGAGCATGTCGCTAACGTAGTACTGAAGCAGAACTGCGTCGTCATACTCACGCCTCATTGTAAACGTTGTTGTCGTTGTCGTTGTTGTATACGTACCATATGGTTTTTGTTTCTTCTATTTTGACCAACATATTGGTGATAATTTGCCGGGAGAGAGGTGGGACAAATGTACATGTATACATTGGTGCTGTTGCCAATCAATGTGTGCCCTTTCTACTCTTTACTTCAATCACTTCTATTTTTATCATTCAATGTATCTTCCCTCATGAAATATGAAAAAGGACAATACTTTACATTTTTGCCGATAATAATACCCCATTTATTTTGGTAAAAGGTGGATATAGAAACAATTTTACCTTGAAGTCAAAGAGTTCCGCTATTGCAGTCTATAACAAGGAAAAAAGGAGTCAACATCCCACAACATTATTTTCAACAGATACGACGCAAAAGCCACATGTAGCAGCTATAGTCGTACCCATAATCGTGTGCCTAGTGCTGCTAGCAGCTGCCGTTGGAATCGTCTGGAACAGAAGGAGTAAACAAGGTACATGTTAAGAGTTAAACAATGTTTTTAGAGAGACACCAGATATTTCTAAAGAATGATTCTACAAAATGTGAATGAAGTGTGAGTAAAAACAAATCTTTAATGATGTTGTTTTTGGAAGGAAGCAAATGTAGAAACAAATCTCAAAATACATTTACGCTAGGATTTTCGATTTCACAATATTGTTCTATTAAATTAATTTCATCATCATCCCTTGAACCCCCTCTATAGCGGGTTTCCTCGGTACCGCTCCCATCTCGTGTTGTCTGCAGCCAGTTCCAAATCAATTGTCAATATACTGTCTTCAATTCAATTTCAATTCAAGTTTATTTCCACAATCTGATAAGAATACAAAACAAACAAAAGACACACAAGAATACACCATAAATATAACATAACAGATAATGGTGGGATCGACAATAGGCCTACATGCCTGTCTATGGTCAATCCCTTAAGTATATACATGTATATCCATCTTCCTTAATGCAATCTACCCAACTCTTTCTGTGTCTTAATTCCTTTCTATCTCCTTCGTTTTCTCTTTCTTTCTTCTGCTCATCTACTAAGTTCATCTTCATCTTAAACTTATTTAAACTTCGAACTTTATTATATATCAATAGATAATGCTAAATCTAAGGACGAAAGGGGTTGGTATTATTTCAATCCATAATCCAGTTTTATTAAATCTTATTAACCAACTTATAAATCGTCATTCGATCCGAAATAGCCGTTTAAAATGGGTGTAAATAGCTTTTGATAGACCACCTACTTACCTTACAGCCACATCCTCACTATCTCTGGCCTTCTATAAGAACCATATATTTTAGTCACGTACATGATATAAAAATTGCACCGCAATAGAATGTAATTTTTTCGTTGACAGAAACAGCTTCAAATGCACAGCCGACCGGATCATCAGAACCGCTATCCAACGAGATCGCTATCCAATGAGAAAGACAGCCCCCCCCCAAAAAAAATAAATAAATAAAGACCTCTCCGACATTGTCAGTCACCAGTGCCTTCCATCAATTTTTAAGGTCTACTAATGGGAAGATCATCGTGTCAATCAAAATCGACAAAGGACCGATTAAAAAAATTATACACTCTAAGGAATACCTCGTAGTCATGGAATAATTCAAATTGAATAAACTTGACTTATTTAGTTTGTATCACTATATCATCTTATTTGCTTCTTCTTTGCCTTTGGATCTGCGTATGATGAACCTAATGCATTTTTATAGTATATTTATTTGATACCACCATATTCACGTTTGAAGAATATATTGATGATTTATACCCAGATGATAATTTGTATTCATTTGACAGTCCTACTAGATATTGGTTACATGAGGAATTCAATAATGATCTGAAACTCTACAAAAGTCTTTAGGATAAGTTTAGTATGCTCCATATTAACTCTAGAACTTTGTATAAAAACTTTGATGCTATTGTTCTATTTATTACTCAGCTTGATTTTTGAGTTCTCCTTTTTAGGTTTCAGCGAAACTTGATTAAACGATAATACCCCGTAATTATTACATTTAGACAAATACTCTTTTTATCACAGAGATAGACAGGATAGAGGTGGAGGTGTTGCAAAATAAGACCAGTAGATCTACCAATAGGAACAATAGGACCAATATAAACCAATAAGACTAATTGAACCCAATGGGACCAATAGAAACCAATAGAAACCTTCATTTATGTTAGCCTGCCTTTTCGATTAGCATGCTAAAATTAACCTGCAATACGTATCTCATGAATATTCATTATTACTTTACACGTCTCACAGAAAAATACATTTATCATGATTAATTGTTAAGCAAATTATGACAATTAATGCACATATCAATTTTGTGATTGTATTGTTCTTTGGAAATTATTGACCAATAGATTATTTGTCTGATCACACTTACATTCACGTTTTAGCAATAGATATATTGATTATACAATTACTAACCAATTAGAAATAGCATGTATGTTTTCTTTATATAGGTGTATGAGCCTGTACTTTTACAAAAGTCAATCTTGTATTAACTTCAAATGATCTTTGTGATGGAGTTAGTCTAAATGCAATCGAGATTAGAATATTCCTATTGGTGGACACTTGCAAATATTGATTATGATGTATCAATTTATCCCTCGTTCCTCTACCGAGTCGATATACCAATAGAAGTCTTGTACTGATAGTGATGGCAATCGAATATTTTCATTTTTGTTAGCCTGCATTTTAGATTAGCGTGCTAAAATTAACCTGCATAACTTACATATTTCAGCGTTTTTGCAGGCTAACAAAGCAGGTTAATTTGCATACTAAAAAAGCAGGGCAATTTTGCAGGCTAATTGAGCAGGTTAAAATGATTTTGCAGGCTAAAATAAGCCTGCTTCTAAAATGTACAGGCTAAATTAAGCCTGCCTAATTTGCATATTTCGGCGTTTTTGCAGGTCAGTGCTTGCTAAGGAATTAGCCTGCTTTTTAGCAGCTATGCAGGCTTGATGCAGGCTAGAAGCAGGCTAGAAGCAGGCCTGCCTTTTCGGTAAGGGTAATGAATAGTTTTGTCGTTCTTGTTGTCCATATTGTTCATATTTTATGTATAGGCCAAACTCTTGAGAATTTTGTTCGTGTAGGACTTGAATACAATACAAATTTGTCCCCAGTTCCGTATTCTGTGATGTACTTTATTGAAATTACAATGGAAAATACACGTTTTAAATAAATGAGTGTGTGGGTGCTGGTGTATGTGTATGTGTGATTGTGTATTAATTCAATAACAATTGATACATTTCACATAGCATTGTGAGACCGACAGCAAAGCAGTAAATTGATATGGGAGGAGGGGTAACAGTTTAGAATTTCAACAGCCCATTCAGCATAGTTGGGTGTTATCACACCCCTACACACACGCACATTCTGAATCATCTGATAGCCCCCTCCCAAAAGAAAGATCAAACAAAATTAACATTGTTCGCAAAAATATTTAATCATATATTTCATACATTATAGGCAGAATAATAATTCCCTGAAGAAAAAACAGATTCAAAATCACAAGGAAAAGAAGACTAAACAAAACAGTAACCAATGTAGCATCTTTTGGGACAAAGTAGATTTTAATGGATGGACTTCTTTTCTTTACAATACAAAATTCCATCTCTTTCGATTGATACTGGACATAAACATTGAATGTACAAAAACAAGAAATACATTTTTGAATAACAACTAGATGAGTTACGATTAAAAGCAAACTCCTAAAATCTAACCGATTAATACTGTACAAGTAAATGATAAATTTATATTAATATTTACATAGCCTTACTAGAGAATACAAAATGTATTATACATGACAATACAGTTCATATAAATGTGAGAGGCATTGTAAAACCATATTAGAAAATAATACACATTTTAAACATTTTATTTTAAACCGAAAATAATTAACATGTATCAATAGAGGCAGTCTTTTCGATTATTTTGGTACTTTTTTGCTTGGGTAACTCTTAACAGTTGACTACAAAGAGGTCAAGTTAAGAGAGAGGTGAAGCAAGCACTTGTGGCACGATAAGTTTCAGTGGATATCGGACTTGCTTACACAACATCGTTACGTTGTATTTTGTAGGTTATTCATAATTGGATATTCGAAATATATCTACAGTTTTTAAAGTTTAAAACAACTCTAGATAAAAGTACGTTGCAATTGTGTGTAATGGCCTGGTAATGCCTATTAATGTGCCAGGGATAAATGGGTGAGCAAAACTGTTATGATTTTTGGTTAATGATGAGGATCACGGAGGCTGCTCTACCCTCCATCAGAATGATGCAGCCCCTTGTTGGTTCTCACATCATATAACAGTGATATAATGGTGATGACTACCAGAAATTTAGGGGCAGTTCATATCATCTGTTATTAATAATTCTTACATTAGCTCTATAGTTCTAATTGTCCTGGGGCTAATTTTCCTGGGAGGTGAATGTCAGGCAATCAAATGTAACGATTTCAGTAGCTTATAGCAGCTATTGCAAATCGTTATTAATATCAAGTTTTATGAATGAACAGGGCCGTGGTTCACTTTAATTTTGATAAGGGAGGAAACCAATTATACATTTTTGGTTGAAACAACATTTATTACTAATGCCCTTTTTCATCTGAAAATCATTGAGGGAGGACTGAGTAGGCACGATAATGGAATGACAAAATGCATGATCTTTTTGTTATGGTTATGACATACGAAATAGGAACATAATTATCCAAAGCTTTCGTCTATAATTCATTCTCACTCCTTGTTTACTTCTTGATCAAATACACATCAAATATCCTTTCTCTCAAACGTCAAATACCCCTGATTGTATGATTATTATCCATTGGTATATCCAGGAGAAAAAATATAGGATATCAGGTTGATAGGTTATAGTGCTAGCAGTACATCCAAAGCCTTAGGCCGAATGCAAGAAATTACCCATTGACTTTGGACTTTACAAGTATAGGTTATCTCATCATTTTACTCGTAAGACTATGTATGTGTTGTCATCAGTGTAAACATTATACGTATTTCACGTTATTGTTTTCTGCATATATAGAAACAAGGCTAATTATTAGCAATGGCGTAGCGTGGGCTCAGTCTGGGGGGGGGGCACCTAACTACTAGATGAGCGTCTTATAACCCTTTTATTTTTGTCGCGGCACCCTTTTAGAGTTAAAAAAATTAACCTCACCCTAATCCAAAATTGATCAAAGAGTATTTGTTTTCCATCCTTCGTACACATCACATTTGTATTCTGTTTTACATAAGCAACCTTTCCCAATAACTTCTAGAAAGTCTGTCAAAGTGCAATGACATAACCAGTAGGCCTTATTAACATTCTATTTAAAGATTACAAATCTGATGCACTGATGTCTAGAAGATAACGTCCTCATTTTATGAAATTAATTATTCTCTATGGCTGACAGCATAGTTTGAAATTTGTGCAGGTAACATTTGCAGGTAATATTTTATTCTTGAACGCTTTCGTTAAATTTTATTGAGGCCCTTTTCGTGTGATCTGAAACAAATAAATTATAGGCCTGTCGAATTTGAATTATATCTAAGGATTTAATTTACTATCCATGTAGTCATTTGAAACATCAGTAAATTTAGCTTTTTTTATCAACAATTACCTACACAGTATAATCTGACACTAACTTGTCTATATCTAAGAGAGAGAAAGATAGAGAGAGAGAGTGGGAGAGGAAGAGCGACAGAAAGAGAGAGAGAAAGAGATATATATATAATAGATAGAGAAAGAGAGTGGAAAAGTAAGAGAGAGAGGGGGATAGAGAGAGAGAGGAAGAAAGGGAGAGACAGAGAGAGTGCCATCCATTTACCTTTTTTCCAGTTTACTAATAACATCATGATCTCTCCGAAATGTTTGGCAGCTTTCCTTCCCTTCACCAGTCCCACCAAAGTTTCTGACGATGCAGTGTGGACCTCTCCTCAGGAAACGTTCTGGATAGGACAAACGGATGCATCGCTGAATTGCTCGTTTCAAGGGACTCCGATCGCTGTTTACTGGTTGAAAGGTAAATCAAATATACCAAAAGAAATTTGAATAGTCATGTATTCCCCATACGAGTAAACTGATGAATAAGAATAATGTGTTATTTCAACAAAATTAATAATTTTACCAAAAATTCAAGCAGGATGTACATGACCATTTTGAATAAAATAAAAACTGCACAAGTGGCACTTGGTGTTTTGATGCTGTGTTAATTATTCTATATATTGAACTTAATAAAGGGGAATTCAACCTTGTTAACAAAATACAAAACAAAAAAAGAAGCAGAAATACAGAAAAGCATACTGGGGAAAGTTTGAATAAAATCAGATAATAAGAAGAAAGTTACAAATTTGGGAAAGTGGCAATCACTATATGGGCTCTACAAATTGGCTGAATCGGCAATTTATCTTTGATATAGTGTCGGACAACTTTCACATTTGATCCAACACACAAAATGACAAATATTTTAAATTTTGAAAATTGTATGACTCGGGGTAGTATGTAATAATATGCACTCCATAATACATTTTGAGTAGTGCCCGAAGGGTGAAGGCACTTGGTAGAAAAACAGTTAATAGTTATCATTTTGAACACAACAAACGGAAGAGTTATCTATCACTAAGTCACAATCCACTGACAAAATTGCCAATTTCAGATTCACACAGCTGCAGTGATCTCATTTTTCAGGCATTCATAACTTTCTCATTATTGGTCCGGTTTGTTTCAAACATTCTGTTTATCTTATTATTATGCTTTTATACAAATGAACTTATTACAAGGGATGGATTACCCTTTAAGATACTAAAATCACTGTTAATAACAATTGCAGACCCATGTAGGTACAAATGGTGTCATGTTTATCCTCACCATCGACAATATTTCCATTTTCGTTTATTTCATGACGATGGCAATAATTTTGCCCTCATAATTAAAGAAGCAATCTTCTCATTCGATTTAAAAGGTAACTTCAGGTTGTGTTTGGTCACGTTCGTGCGTGACTAACTTTTTAAACCATGTTCAATGTTTCACTCAAATCGTGCACAAATGGATTTTGATATGCCTTTTCAAACCAATGTTGCTCAGTGAAGCATGTATGGATTAATCAATATATCATGTGAAAGCATATTACTTCTACTTTATGGAAAAAAAAGAATCATATTTACACCCCTCATAGTTTGATCACAATACTCATTTTGTTTTCGGGTTTTATCTCACAAATGTTCCCTTCAAGGTGAAACGTTACAAACGGCAATGCCCCTTATCACATGGTACAAAGGAAAGTCAACCAAGCAGCAGGGTGAAGGTCTTGAGTTTGGTCCAAACTTCTCTTTGTTGTTCAATCACCCAAACACATCGGATACAGGACGCTACTCCTGTCGGGTGTCCAATCAGCAAGGTATACTCAACTCGAACCACACAGATCTCAGAGTTTTAGGTGAGTTAATTTGTTTGTAATACATGTTTTATTGATCCGTTTCATTTTAAATTTAACATCACATAGTATCAACATGAAGTATGATGGATCATGTGATAATTTGTTATAAATGTCGTGAAATGTACACATATATAACGTACATTAAAACAATAATCAAAGGATTACAGTTTAGTTGTCGATTGCTGGTGTTGAGAGATTACAAAAGCTTACAAGAGACAACCAAAGTAAACATAGCTCATCAAAAACCTGGTCAAATAAAATAACAAATTATTACGCAACCTTTCATTCCTACTGACCCTCTATTATATCAGGCTACAGTTTAAATTTAAATTTTAATGTCTTTTTAAAGTCAAAATTGGTATAGGAAGGTTGAATTGTTCGTCCCACTACTATTACTTTTCTGAAATTCTCACAATACACTATAAAATGTTTTGATTTCATTGTTGGCAATCTGATATCATAACCTGTTCGGATGATGATTTTGTTTCTCTTCAATTTTGTTACTTTGGACGGAATTTGGGGGGTAACGCATGGTATCTATACTACAACTATTGCTAAAAAATAATAAGGAAAAAGATAGGGTGGATGCCAAGCGACTTTTTGGGGGGAACTATTGTAACAATACACCAAACTTTCGAATCATAGATTTTATTATAATATATGTTTATATGTTGATAGTTTTTGCTATGGCATAAACCCCATTTGAGTATCTGAGGAATGCACAAAGGCGACATTACAGTATGAATAAATGCTCCATTAGCTTTTCCAATGTTTTGATATCACTCTTGCGTAATTTATTTGTTTGTTTGTTTCTTGTTAACATTCAACAGATCCAAAACAGAACATTATGTATACCATTCCAGAAATAATAGGCTGGAAAGGAAAGAGCGTCATTTTGCCTTGTGACTTTCAGGGTACACCTTCTCTTGTTTCATGGACTAGAGAACGTAGCGATGAATGGAATACAAGCGTCCAAACTGTTGCAGAATTCAAGGATGATGTCTCATGTAAGACTGAATGGATCCAATACGCATGCAGTCGAGGATACGGCCTGATTATTACAAATCTCAAACTCTCAGAGGAAGCGAATTTCACCTGCACGGTTGTAAAGACAGATGGAGCTTTCCTCAAAAATACTACGTCTCTCTCCGTTTATGGTAAGGTTAGAGGCTATTAGGCTTTGGTTTATTACCTCGTGTAGTTGAAACCGTTGATTCGAAGTGTTGGGGGATCCATAATTTTCAAAATGATAATGCATACATCATAGCCGAAATAATGTAATTTGGTATTTATTATTTTCTTCTTTGCAAAAACAATGTCAGTTTATAACAGATCTCGACATTAGGCACTACTAATTGTTATTTCCTAAAATTCTCATATAAAAGTCTTTAACCCTTACTGTACTGGGGGGGGGGGGGGGGCTGGGAGGCCCCCCCCTCGACATTTTCGGAGATTGCGCAACGACCACTTGGAATTTTAAATTGTCGTTTCATGACTTTTTTCCCTCAAGTCTTACGCACATTTTGATACCATTTTTGTCGAAATCGGATATACCTGTAAGGTATAACAATTAGTATGCGCATGTCATCAAAAATATACTATAATTGCATATATTCATGTACAATCAGAAATGTGAACACTATGAATTGATATCAAATTGCTTTTTTCTCAAAGTAACTTGATGTATTCCAGAACAAAAGAATATATTAGAAATAAAACAATAGATATAATAAATAAAATCAATAAAATACAAAAGAAAATAAATAGTTTGAAAATCGCATCAAATTTGCATAAATTATCATTATTAATTACATCAAAATAACTATTTTGTGTTAGAAAAGAAGTTTCATATGAATAATGGGTTTCAATTAACATTCAAAAAGTGGAGTCTGGCAATTTTTGTAATGATTCTAGTTCCCTGTTTATTTCTAGATTTGATATTCATGAATGCGTATTCATAATTTATGCAAATTAACCTATGCATTTTCAAATATCATAAAATTAATGTAACCTCATGAATTTGAGATGAAGGAAACATTTATTCAATACATTGTCAACATTCTTCACAAGTCTACAGACAAACATGAAGAGTCTTTTGTAAAATGCATAAAATTAGCATTTTGCATAATTAATTAGGCTATAACGCCAAAAATTTGCATATTAGGAAAAAACTAATTATACCATCTTGTTCCTTATGTAAATACCTACAAACATGCAAATTTTCGCGTTCATCGGACTTTTGACGGCCGAGATCATGGGGGGGGGGGGGAGGGGGGGTCACAAGGTGCTCAAAATAGCCCAGTACAGTATACTAAGGGTTAAGGAAAACACAGAACATCGTTTACACAATCCCAGATAAAATAGACTCATGGAAGGAGTGCCAATTTGTGTTTCCAATCGCTGTTCTTCGCATAATATACAGGTCACTGCCGCTTTCCCGCTATACTGAATAAGAAAAAGGATTACAATCTTTCTAAAGCCTCTTCTCACCTTGCTCAAGATATTCTGCATGGATAATTTATAACCCAAGAGTTGACTGACTAGACTAATATGATAAGATAAGCCACTTTCAGTATGTGAATGAAAGAATTCGTAACGAGGCACTTCACCAAGATGCATGGATTTTTATAATTTTACGAAAATTCTTCATAATTGAAACTTTCTCTGTCATTTCACTGACAACAATTTGTCATTCAAGCTAAGGCAGATCATCCTTACCCTCACGTGGACCAGTGCGAAGGCGAAGAAGAAGATTCCTCCAACCGAGACTCAACTTGCATCATCCGAGTCACCCACACCAAGACATCCTAGAACTGGACTGCATCGTAGAGGGTGCCCGTCCACCAGTCTTACTCACCTGGGGTTACGCGGATGCCCCCTGGAGTTTAATGGACACCACATCCTCTGAAGAGACGGAACTAGAAGATGGAACATATCTACAGATCATAACTTTGAGACTTGACATTAGAGACCTGGAATCGGAACCGTTGATCTGCATGGCCCACGGTCTCGTCGTTTCAGGAGCAGCAAATCATACTGTGGTAATTAAAATACAACATGAAAAAGGTCTATAATTAAAAAAAAAATGTTCCTTCTCATATCATCTTGTGAAATTAAAGCTCCTGGTGCTAGGTGCTTTCGTGAATTGGGTATTACTGGCTTAGTGCATATTCAAAATACACATTTAAAAATTGTGGACACCTACTACGAGATAGCATATTTACAGAATAGATTGTTTTATCTTAAAATATAAATAAAACCTGTCAAATTACACCCATGTTAGGGTATTTCTGAAAACTGGTCGATTTTTTTGTCTTTGATCAAAAAGTTAATACATCATACTATAAAGAATTATTGCGATACTACAGTATAATCGAATTACAGATTGTCAGTACATCCGTTAATCCTCTGTAACAAATATGATTGAAAGGATATCACAAAGAAGGAGAGGAAGAAGTACCAACAAAAAGGAGAAAAAAAGAAGACAATGAATGTACAAACAAAAAACGATGTAGAAGAGTAGAAAATACATGTTGTCAAATTATGTTTGTTTGCCAGTCGAATCAATACTGATTACTGAATCTACAACATATAATAATTCCTCGAAAAATTAGTATCTTTTTTTAAATGAAAAATCCTACTTTATCTGTAAACTGTATTGATGGCTTAATTTGTTTTTTCAGGTCCTTCAACAGTGGGAATCGTCGTAGGTGTAATTTGTGCACTGGCACTCACTGCTTCCATTGTTGCTTTTATTGTCTGGAGAAAGCGTATCAGCGGGTCGAGAGACACACCAGGTAAATTTTCATTTACTGGTTTTATTTTAAAGATCTTAGGTTGCAAAGATTATGAGTCCCTACAGGATTGACTGGATGGATATTGGAAAAGATGCCTTCCTTCTCAAGGTGTAATATAATTATACGAACTGTGTTATTGTTCATGTGCTATTAAAAAATGTCCGACCAATAATGGTAAATACCACGCATAATTTGGATGACATTTTGCCCGACCATGATCACCCTTTTCTACAAATTTAGAAGGAAATCGGGCCTATAAAAGTGGAGCATTTTCACTGAAAACTTGGTCGGACAAATAATTACCCTCATGGTAGGCAATTCGTTACCCAACACTTAACAGTATATAATGATTGATAATCGATTTATTTGATGTCTATGAAATCTTTCCAAACATTACATGCTCATGTTTTTTAAAGAAGAAAAAAACACGTATAAATCATTGGACTTAATAATTCTAAAAAGCAACATTGAGATATTAGACATGAATTAAAACAAAGGAAATACCTTTAATGAAAAATTTGGCTTATTGTATAAACATTATATCTATCAATTTGAAAATGATCACTCGATTATCAACAATCTGATGACAGTGAACACCGAAGACAATAAAGAAAGATGACGTTTCGTATGGTTTCAGTAATCCTTGGAACACAATGACTATGCAACAATATTCGATTCTGCAGAGTTATAACTACCATATAACATCAAGAGTTATTGATGTAAACCAATAACATTTAAACAGAAAGAGAAAACTTCACACAGTATCTTACTTTTAAGTAATCGACAGACAGTCGGTGTTTATGTACGTTGGACTTGCATGTGTACATCAACGTCATTTACCAAAGGATCGATAGAACACGAAGATAATGAAGAAAAAAAAAACCATGAAGGTAAAAATTTATGTAATTCTTTTATTCTAATTTCTAGCTTCACTGTTTCTTGTGTCCCATCCAGATATGAATGCAGAGAAAGAACAAGAAATGAGCGACATCACGAAACTACTAAGTAAGTTTGTTCTCACTCCCTTCACCCCCAGCCTCCACGCCAAAGCCTTGTAATTACAATTAAGACAAATAATCTCATGCATGTCATTGGTAATTGAAATTGTTGTGTCTATATGTACACTAGAAAAAAAAGAGAACCCCTATCAATGTTATTATTATTAGTAGTAGTGTAGTAGTAGTAGTATAATGATCATCATTATTATTATCATCATCATGATTAGTGGTATTGGGGTGAAGAAACATGTACCAATCTTTTATCAACGTCGCAGATGAATAAGGGGGGGGGGAGGTGCTGCCAGTGAACCGTTTAATGAATGACCTTTCGAAATATTAAGTCGACCGTGATGGTCCTCGCAAAATACTCCCGTCCTCATTTGTAAACCATTTCGATTTTTGGGAACGGTGGCGTGAAGTCATGTGACCCCTTTTATGTTACTCCTTGTGTTATCTCATCTACATGTATTTCTTTTTTGTTCTTTTATTTTAATCTCCTCTTTGTTATGTTTTAATCCCTTAACCAAAAATCCACCATTTTCTCTTCTACCTGTCCTTATATCATGCATTATTTTACCCTTCTATCAATTTCTCTTCTTCCTAATTTTCTTAATTAATTTGTTGATTTATCCTTTCATATTTTCCTTTGTCATCCCCATTTTATTTTTTCTCCTATTACCCTATATTCCCTTTCTGCTATATCTCATGTACCGGTATACGACCAGAATTTAGCCGAGAACCGTCCTAAAAATCAACAGGACGGTGAGAGTTGTACGACTTCGAGCTTGCGCAGACTCGGCTTACTGTCGTCCTCTTTGCATTCCGTCCTGTTTTCGAAAGCCCACTATTGTCACTTCTGTTCAATATTATGTATTCTCTTCTCAACCAATTCAGATGAACGTAGACTTAGAATGGAAGAAAAACGAAAAGAAGTTTTGGATTACAAACCCCAGATCTCTTCTACAGTTAGTGGTAGTGAGGTTCATCCCATACATCTAGGTGTGTTTGGTCTAACACATGCGGGAAAATCTGCATTCATAAATTCTCTGTACTTCGCTATATCAGGTACGACACTATTAATTACACAAAAAACGCATTCTTTGTATAATTATATATGTTCTTTTTGTGATACAGAGGCTATAACACCTTGATTATTTGGGCATCCAATGTGAATGTACACTGTCGCTCATAAAGGTGGAATATTTTAGTTTTACCCCAATTTATGGGATTATTTTTAAAATTATTTAAAAATAATAGATCTAGATAATAGTATACATTCTCAGATTTTATTGAATAATAATTTGTCAATGTGTGTTTTGCGGGACTGCTAAAGCATGTGTATGCTACTATGCTTATTAACTAGGGCGGCCATGCATTATGGCTCAAGGCATGGACACACAGAAGATTTGTTTATGTTGGGAACCGGGGTAAAACGCAATCAATTATTGAAAATTATTGCATTTTCTGTGTTTTTTTTTATTTATGGAAACTGCCACCTACCCTAAGCCCCGCTGCGTACAGTCATGGTTCAGTGACAAAGCAATGGCCTCGTAACTGTGAGGCCCCAGGATCAAAACCGTGTCGATGTGCTATATTACTGCCCTTTTGTGGGGCATTAATCCTCATTACTGTCATTTATGACTTAAGGGCATAGGTTCCCTAGTTGATAAGCATAGTAGCATACACATGCTTTAGCAGTCACGCAAAGCACACATTGGCAAATTATTATTCAATAAAATCTGAGAATGTATACTATTATCTAGATCTATTAGGAATAAATTATTTTTTAAATAATTCCATAAATTGGGATAAAAAAAAAATATTCCACCTTTATGAGCGACAGTGTACATCTATGCAAATACTCAAACATTTTCCATCCAAATACGCATCTCTATCACAAATGCAACAGTTAACAAAGTCGTAATGATCATGATTATGTTATCATATGTATATAAAAGAGATTTACGTGTAGTAACATTACAAACTTGAGAAATGACATGCATTATTATAGTTTGTATAATGAATATCTTAAATCTCAAACAGGGAACTATGAATGTATAGCAGACGAGTCAAAGGAAATCAACCAGAGGACAGAATGGAGAGAAGCTAAGAACCTGACATCTGCTATCAAGATTATTGATAACTTTGGTGAAACCATGCCACTTTATTCGCAAAAGGTCGGGGGTAATGTTTACGAAATAAACCCCTCCCGCCTATATAAAATAATGGTCTGGTCCGAATTACCCAACACTTTTTGAAAAAACTAACGGCAAATCTACGAACGGTCACGTCTTCGCACGATCTTCCGCTTTCGTTTCACAAAATTTTGGGTAATGTGACCCCCGACCGGAAGCGATGACCCGATGATAATTATGAAGTAGGCCATATTTTAATTACAGGGAAAAAATAAAGAAGATGATAGGGGTAGCTATAGGAGAAGTAGCAATATACACGGGAAAGAAAGAGGTATTGGGCCTTATTTAATAGTTAATTCAAACCAGGGCTACTATAGCTTGATATATACATCCTACGGGTATACTGAAATCATAGATGTAGTTGGTAACATATGTGATGAAATAAAGTTAACTTGCATTATATACCTCACTTAAGTAATCCAGCAATCTGATTGGTCGAAATTACATTCATAAACTTTAACTGTTCCCGAAAATTCCTGGTAACCATGGTTAAAAAACAGTTCAAAATCCCAATAACCATGGTTATTGGGAAAATAGGTCAGTCTCCATGGTTACCCCATAGGTTTACATGTTAAAAAATGGTCTGAGCGATCGAGGATACCGTACGTGTGCGAAGAATTGGTCGGTAATTTCAATACAATTGAATCTCGATCGATCTTACCGACAATTTTATCTTGCATTGTTGACATGAAGACGAAAATAAACTTCCAAAAACAACATCTGCTGATAGATCTTGATCTAAGTTCGTGCCAATATGCATTGCAAAAGTAAAAGAAGGGCCCGTTTAATGGAGCAGCGGCGAAGCATCGACCACGCGAAGCCGTTTTCAATTCATTTTAATGTATATATTAAAGAAAACTACTGTACATGGTGACATAGCGCGCTGGCCGAGCGGTTTGAGCTAGCGCTGACTTTAGTTACCTTTTGTACGCAAGAGATCGAATCCCATCTTCGACAAAAGTTTTTTTTTTTTTCCTCTTTTTTTCGGCATATAAAAGTATTAATGACTGCTTTAATATTCGAGAAATAGTTGTTTTTATACGCTCTCGGGAAGGTTACAATTGGGCTATTCCCCTCAGCACGCCTCGGGTAATAGCACAATTCTAACCTTCCCTTGAGCGTATAAAAACAACTATTTCTCTCAAAGCAGTCATTAATACTATACTATTACAATAAGTTTGAAGTAGGATATAAGCAGATTCAGTTTTAGTTCAATGAGTAGTTGATAATTTCATTTACATTATATTGACCGTAACAACAATAATGTTTTCATGATTTTTTCTTTAAATTTCTTTTACTGTATAATGTTTCATTATCTTTTCTTTACATGATCCTTGATCTATTTTTTTTAGATGGAAAGGCAGGACAAAAACCTGGTGTGAAAGTTAAATGAGGACACAAGGTGGATTGTCCAATTTTGATCTGCAATTTCAGGTAAAGACTTGATTTGTAATTTATATCAGTCTATAACGATTCAGAAAGTTTAAAGTTTGTTATCATGAAACAAGAGCATCTATAAATAATTTATTCGGAAAAGAGAGAACAAAGTTTGTTCTTCCGCGAACTAAAAACCAACATCTATACAGTCATATATCTTTTAAAGTGAAATTAATTAATTAAAGGTTAAGGCTGCATTACACTATCAAAAGGTTGAGGAAAATGTACCCAACATCGGGAAAATGATGAACATATTATATATGTTTGTTGGTTAAAATATCCCCCAATATTGAATACTTTTCTATCAACATCAGGGCACATTAATTTCACCCAATATTCTGTAAAATTTTACCAGAGACGGCGTCTCTGGGGGGGGGGGGGGGAGGGGGCATAGTGCTATCACCTTTTCAAGTACCCCAAAGTGCCCTTTTTCATATCTGATAGTGCCACTATATCCATTATCTGATAGGTGCCCCGTTTACTTTCACACGTGCCACTTGTTTGTGATAAGTGCATTTCCCCCTTCTAATAAGTGTCCCTTTTCTCTTCGGATAAGCTGTCCTTATACTTTATAAGTGCCCTTTTTCCTATTGATCACCCTTTCACCTGATCAGTGCCCCTTTCAAATATGTTAAAGGTAATACAAAGTTTTGGTATGGGGTCATGAATCTGGTTCAAATGAACATATTGGAAGCATATACGATCCTACAATATTCAGTGATCGTTGTCGCGGTCGAAATCGACTCTAAAGTTATGAAATTGTAAATAATCAACATTTTATGTTGAATAGCTCCCTCTCAAGGTGAATATATTAATTAAGCTATAAAACAATGTTTATTGACTAAAATTGACTGATTAGCTATTCTTGTTCGGAAATTATATACCACAACTACATACTCTGAGATTTTCATGGTCGCAGCTACCATTGGACGGCCGTAGGAGCTATTTGAAATTTATCAAAATTTACCGGGAGCACCGGTAAATCTTTATATTCAATTTTTCTCGAAAGCAGAAGTGTTTTAGGGGCTAACATTTCTGGTGTTTTTAATACATCCACAGGGGCATCCAAATATATTAAAATTGTAAAGAATCACTATCCACCCATTTTTCAAAATTTCCCAAAACTTTGTAATACCTTTAAGTTCATCTTGTTACTTTAGAAAAGTGTTCCTTTCCCTCTAATATAATTGCCCTTTGATATTAAAATGCTCCCTTTTACCTATCCCCTTATTTCCACCGTCGCTTTATACAAAGTGTTCCCTCGGAATCGGAGCAGCGTTCACAGGTACCCCCCCCCCCCCCCCCCCCTATTTGTACCACCTCAATGAAAGGCGGTAAAGCCGGGCGGGGGAGAGGGATGGGGTACAATGCCACACATTTCATAAGATTGAACCTATCAATAGTTCCTTCCTTATTAAAGGTATTTGCTGAAATCACACTATGAAAATAAGTTTTGAAGAAGATACTGTATAAGCCATTCCAATGTTACATAATTATTTTCTTAACGACAATAAAAAGGATGATATTTATCCATGGACATTCCTATGTTCTTGATACCACTGTATAGCAAAGAGAAAATTGGCAAAGCTCTACCAGGAACAAGTTCCAAAAATACAAACAACGCTAAGGAATTTATCATTCAGTTTTCAAAAGAAGTTTATACACAATTAGGTAAGTTGAATTCTGAAGTTTATTAGACATTGCTAATTAAACAAACTATCCTTTTAATAGGTGCTTGTGGAAAATAGAAGTTGTCATTCCACTCTTTTTTTAAATCTTAGGATTAGTGGTACTATTTCAGTTATATATTGTTTTGGCTGTACAAGCGTCTCTGGCAACACGAAAATATCACAAGAAGACTCCATTTGAATATTCAACAAAATAACAGACAATTAAACGATAAAATAATGTTATAATCGCAATGAGTAGTCAAACTCCTAGTTCCATAACATAATTACTTCAACGCAAAGTCCTGTCACACAGTCGTAGCCTGCGCAGTTCCAGAGATAAATTATTGTTCCAGATTCCCCATGGCAAAATTAAACTATAACTCTTGGGGACCGTGCTTTTGTTATTGCTGCCCCCAAACTATGGAATATAGCTTGCCAATAGAAAATACGAAACTCTCCATCTCTCAATGTCTTCAAATCCAAATTAAATTTTGTTCAACAGAGAGATTCTAGTGTAGAATTGAGTAAAAAAGGAGCTCTGAACCAGCGCAGCTGAATATATACTTTGTATAAAAGCTGCGCTATATTAATGTATTATTATTGTTATTATTATTATTATTATCATTATGAACACCCTTCAATTTTATGTTAATATTTAGGTCATTCTCTGCTCTTGTTTCCATTCCTCTTATATAGGCCGACGTTTGATCGTTGTATTGACACACAAGGACACCTTGCAGAAAGAGGAAAACATAAAAGACTGGCTTGTCAGCGACTGTGAAATACCTCGAGATAATATATGGACCTTTGAAAACTACACACATAAAGATCATGACGAAAGTATTGACAAGACTGTTGATCTCTTGAGCTTTATTTTGAAGTGTGTGAAATTGTCGGAGCAAAACATCGAATTCAGACGTAAGAACGAAACCGAAAAGAAGGATGGGTCTACGTGTCTAATATCGTAGGTGACAAGAACATTTATATTTTAAACTGTATGTTTCTTTAACTGATAAAAGAGACGGTACTACATTTGCATAGTAATTCCGGAGGGTTCGATATTAGAAAAAAAAATGGAAGTATTCAAAGATTTTGTAAACCTTCCTATTGATTGTATTAAAGGGCAACTCAACCTTCATAGGTTTATTTGTATGAAAGCAGAAAAGGGAGAGAAACAGATTGGTTAAAGTGTGAATTAAATAGAACCCATAATAAGAAAGTTTCTGATGCTTCAGATATACGATTACTAAATCTGTGCGAATCTCAAGTTGGCAGTTTGGACAATGGATTGTGAGATGGTCGTGGACAACTCTCCCGATTGTCGTGTACAAACAATATATTACTTAAATTCCTGTTTTTCTCCTATGTAGCTTCTCCATTGGGTATTAGCCAAAACATAGTAGTAATGGGCTAATGGCATATACCTTTCCGGGTCATACATTTTGACAAATTGACATTTTAGCCATTTTGTGTATTGGAATCAGTGGGAAAGTTGTCCAGGACTACATTACAATAACATTACAGATTCACCAAATTTGAAGTTCCCATACAAATAGTTATTACAACTTAAACACAAATCACAACTTTCTCATTAATTTTTGTGTATGATTTCATTCGATCTTTCACCAGACTCTGATTTCTCTGCTTCTATAGAGTTGTTGGCTATTCAGGTTAGATTACCTTTTAATGTAACTGTACTATAGCTTTAAGTAGACAATAAATCAGAGAAAGACTACTTTCGATAATCATAATGTTCGTAATTCAATGAGACTTGGTAATGTATCATTATGTATGAGACTGTGAAATAACAAAATGCCTCGGTCAAGCTCATTTTAAATCTCATTATCGACGTTGCAATGCATAAATTCATCAAAATAATTATTATGGAAAATACCTTTTTTTTTAAATATGCTTTGAATATGTTCATACTTTTACTTCGTTCACCTTACTGGTCATACGGTAATATAAACAGATGCCGCTTACATGTATTTTAATAATAAATGCTGGTAGGAATTTATTCTTTGAAATGCTAGAGCGCCGTATGGCAGCCGTGCTTAATCCAGGGTAATAATCGGGAGCGCCAGGAGGGTCAAGTCTGACTGACATGAGCGCTATACAAGAACCCACTATTGTTATTATTATTATATATAATTGCATATTAATATGTTATAATTTTTGCTTATACCCGAAACTGGAAGTAGAAGTTGGTCCTGCAAAACTGTATTGTTCCATCTTTCTGCGTCGTTTTGTTTCATAATCTTTATGTATAAAATATAGGTCATTAGAATATAAATTAAAACATATCGTGTAGACATAATAATTAATATCTGTAAAGTTGCTGTAATAAGCTCTGGTCTTGCCTCAATTTGAATACTGCTCCTCTGGTCAAACTAATACTAGGAACAAACAAATAAACTCAAGAAACTCAGAAAGCAAGCTGTGAGAATAAATTCAAATGAATGCTTCGAAAATTCATCACGTGAGTTATTTAGTACACTGAAACGGATTCCAATTGAATTTCGTTTTGAATTTCAACGCGCTACTATTTTGTCATCATCCTATTTACAAGAAAAATGTGTCAACGTAAGTGAGTATCATTCAGTATCATACGAAGCAGGCAAATGAATGTTCACTTCTGTGCCAAAGTATAAAACAAAATGTTTTAAACGCAGCCCCCTCATTTCTTCATAGCATGACATCAATTGGACAGATCACGAAACTTGCGTTCCCAATAGAAGAATGCCGAGAGGGTTATATTCAGTCTCAGTCATAATGGAATTATTTTTTCCTTTTCTTTTCATTATATATCAACGCATATCTCTTGTTTGAATCACACCATTGTCATTGATGTATGATGCGTTTTCAATACAACTGCATAATAGATGCAGTCCTGATTCATATCCATCCTTATTTTGATGGACTTTGCCGATTCATAGTTCTCATAATGTATAGGATGACAAAAAGCTTTTCAAATTGACTTTGCCGATTCTTAATTCTGATAATGTATTAGGATGACAAAAAGCTTTTCAAATCGAATAAATGGCATCACTCATTATCAGAACAAAAGATGTTCAAATAATATGCTTTAGTATTTATTCTAATTATGAGGCTATTTTCAAGAAGTATATAGACATTAATTTTATAAAAATTAACGATTACATTTCACCTGATTTGATTAAAGATTACTGTCTTTACCATCATGTCATACGATATTACAATTATGCACCAGTATTTTATTGAAAAAGTCCACATTTATTACGAGGAAACCAAATATTGTGTTTAGATGTACATAGTACCATGCATGTACTACTTTTCTTCTGTGGTTAGTTCTAACTCACTTGTAACTCACTTGATCCAGGATTATTCAGTCTTTGGACTGTTGTTCATATCCATAGTTTCCTTTGGTTGCCTTGGGGTTCTCATAATATTTATCTGGGTCATCTTTCCACCAGACAGTTCTCAAGTCCAGATTTGAAGCGATTGATAGTTGTACTCTCTACAACATTGCTTTATGAGCTTCTGTTAATATGATGAGTTTATATGCATGATTGTAATTTGTTATAGCAATTTCTTGTTACCAACCTAGACCACTACTGGTGGTGAAAATGTGCTACCCTGTATAAATATCAGAAATAAATAAATGAATAAATAACAAAATCATGAAAAATCTACGACCCCCCCCCCCCCCCCCATTATTGGGAATTAATCGCAAAATTCTGTTTGGAGGGGAGAGTCATGTAGGACCAAATTGGAAATTCAGATTTATAATTGAGCCCGGGGGGGGGGGGGGGGCCTCAATTTTGTTCAGGGAGGAATCGTCCCCCCCCCCCCCCCCCCCCGGAATTTTTAAAAAATGCGCACAAAAATGTACAGCACATACTGACTAAAGACTGCGACACAATATTAGACTCTGGAGGGCCCAAGAGTTCAGCGTTTAGACTAATAAAAATGTAGAAATCTTCTCGCTCGCGCGCTACGTCCCATTGCATAATATCCTTCAAAATGTACAAGTATATATTGTAGAAAATCTGTATACCGTTGGTGTCACGAAAGCCAGAGCCAGAGTTTGGTGTTGGGGGGGGGGGGGGGATACATGTAATTGATCGACGTCCTGGGGAGGGGTCTAAAAATGTTCAACCAATCTTGGATTTTTTTCCCACCAATATTTCAGCTTTTATAGCATCATACAACTGCACTTAAATAACTTGTACAAATCTGACAGGTGACAGGTATTAAAATTGGCCTAAATGATCAGACGGTGATAATTGTTTCCCATTTCCCATAAGAACAAAACCGATCGCATTCAATTTCCAAAGTCAATTTCAGTAGGATGCACATTCTTTGTTTACCCAACAAAGCACCAAGGCCATATCGTGTCCAATACACATGACGCTGAGCAACGATTTACAAGGACGCCCTCATATCAAATGAAAGCTATAAGTTATATTTTACAATGTTCTTTCTGGTTGCAGCCATGAAAGTGGATCGACACAGCCGGCGACACAGCTAGGAATGTACTGAGCAATAAGGTGAAGAGAGAGTGAAGTGGGGGGGGGGGGGGGGGTGGATATAGAGATATTGAAGTTCAATGGGTGTGTGTGAGAAGAGAGCATGGTCCATGGAGTGTGAGAGAGAGAGAGAGAGAGAGAGAGAGAGGGGGTGCATGGGGGGGGGGGGGGGTGGTGGAAGAGATATGGGCCAGGTCGGCCCCCCTTTTCAGCAAAAGTCCGGTGTGTAAAGTCGATGCGGGCACATTTTTTTTTTGTGCCGAAAATTTGGTCGACCGATATTTCATTCAGGTCCTGAAATGAATTTTTTGTCACAAAATAGTCTATTAGGCTAATTAGCCTATACCTACGGTCAGGCGCGTACTCGGGGGGGGGGGGGGGGGGGGGGGGGTGTAAGGTCACCTTTTTTTGGTCACCCTTAATTTTTTATTAACAACAAATTTGAGGGCGGGGGTTTCCTCCAAAACACACACGTACAAAAAAATTGAGGGGGGGGGGTTCCACACCGAACCCCCCCCCCCCCCCCCCCCCCCCCCCCCCCCGAGTACGCGCCTGACCGTAGGTATAGGCTAATTAGCCTAATAGACTATTTTGTGACAAAAAATTCATTTCAGGAGTTGTCAAATAAAACCAAACGCTAAGACCAAATAATTAAAAAAGAAACATGTTTAGTGTCCTGCCTTTTTGAAAAATAGGGAGGATGCCCTTTAAAAAAAAAAAATCAAAAATAGATCGTTTTAGCAGTGTTTTTCATGTTTGTTTTTTCTTAAACAAAAAAAGGGCCTCCTCCTTCCTATGTTTCAAAGAGGCAGGACGCTAAACATGTTTTTTTAATTTTTGTATAACAAATTTAAAAAGAAAAAGAAAAAAAGAAGCGGGCAGGGACACAAAACATAAATATTTTTTTTACATGGCCTATTGACAATACTCAAGTTCTCTCTCATTTATCTCCCTCCCTCGCTCTTTCTCTCAATGTTATTGCCAATATGTAAACAACACACAAACACACACAAAAATGATGTGTCATGCATCGCCCCAGCTAGATGAAGGTCACTCAAAGTCATACACAGTTGCACACGTGATTCACCCATGCATGTATAACACAACATGAAGGAGATTCTTGCTGTTGTGGCTTCTTGATCTTAATTCCTTGAATTCCCTACTCGATCTATCTTCAACTAAAAAAGAACACACTTTGAATCATTTACACAACCGCTCTCTATCTCGACTTTTTGTCAACCTTTTTTTAAAGTCATGAAAACCCTTTCATACATTTTGCTTTAAAAAAAACAACTAAATTTCTGCCTGGGCACCCCAGTTGAAAAACGCTGCTCAATCTCGATGAGTCTTCTCCTTATAGTTCTAGCATAAATTCTTCCATTATCACGTGCCCGACTAGGCGACTACCACATTTCCTGTTTTCTGCTACTGCAGGTTCAAGTGTTCTCAGGAATATCCTTTTCATTTAATAACTAGTATATCAATAAAATGTAGACTGCATGATATAAATGTACAACATTTCATAGTAAATACAAGATGGCGTTTGCCCAAATGTTGGTAGTTTTGAAAATTTGGAAAAGTGGACAATAAATAGGCCTACACACACACACATACTTATCACGAATAAGGTGCATAGTTTGTTTGTATCATATAGTCTGTTTATTGATATATTTCTAATCTGTCAAAAAATTCTTTTAAAATAATGATTGAAAGGCTCATCCTCCCATTTACAAAATATGGGATGCAATAAAACCGACATATCTGCATGGGAAAGACCCGTTGTGTATTCTGCTGTCAAAACAGTTGAGTTAAATCATTCTCATGACTCTTTTTCTAGGCCAGCATCTTATCTTTATTGTCACCAATTTCAATTAACTATTTGCAACTGTAAAATATACTCCAGGTGTTTCAATATATAATCTATACCTAAACTCGACTAGCCTAGATTCTATAGGCTACTCTAGAAATAGTTTGATAGTATTACTGTCACATGAATTAAATATGCATATTAAATATCATGAGAGCTTCTATAAAGTCATGAAAAACAATATTTGAAATGCCATTGTTATAAAACAGGAAGAAGATTGTCAAACTTAAGGCAGCACACTCATGCGAAACGAGAGAAGAAAAAAGAAATAATTCTTAGTAATTAAGTAAAATTAGAGTGGGTAATAGTCAATAACATAAAGCTGTGAATAATATATTCACATACTAGATGTGTTTGGTTCCATGGACATAAGCATTATATACACATAAGCCAAGCTGTATTACCTACGCATGCATTGTACTGTCTACCTTTCGTGCTCTCTCTCTCTCTCTCTCTATCAGGAATGTAAACAATATATCTGATGTGTCATTGCTTACACAGAAACACACTTAGAGGACTAAAATTAAGTCTTAAGGGCAGGCCAAGTTCATCATTCAGGAGCTTTAAGATGCCATAATTATAATCACATGGTTACACATAATAATAATAATAATAATAGCTAGTTCTTATATAGCGCTTTCCAAATAACCTAAAAACTTTCATTTTGAGAGGAGCATTGTGACACGTTGCAGTGAGAAGGTGCACAGGACAATGTTGTGTGTAATCTACGAATGTCAGCATTCAACAATGAAGGCAATACTCTGAAAATGAAAATCATTTGGGGCAAACTCCTAAAAGTGGAGACATCTGCAAAGTATGAAAACATGGGACATGTATGTGTCTGCCTGGGTAGAAACTCTAATTCAATCTAACACTGACTGTATACTACATGGATGTCATACTTGTACATGTACCTGTAATCCTGTACCTGTATGTATTTCAATATTATCAAAACAAACCTACAAACATGGACAAGCAAGGACATATGTCACTATTACATGAATCACACATACATTACATATTTTTAGTTTTTAAGAAACAACTTTGAAAAACTACATGTAGAAGGCACTCAATGTATTTAGTTTTCTTACTAAGAAAGTATTATTTCAAAATGTTATAAAATTATATAAAAATATGGGGTTACAAAACCTATAAACGATGCCATTGTACAGACACACTTAATTTGTTCCAATGTACATGTGGCTAGTGTAAATTTCTTCTGTACAATCCATTTTTATTGGGGGAAAAGGCACATCATATAATCATATATCACTACATTTTGTATTTTCCTTGTTCACAGAATCAGGATATAAAAATATAGAGTACATGAATTTGTATAAAACCTTCAATATTCTCAAATTTCAGTATGAACAATTTCAGTATGAACTAGTAATAACCAGAGCTCATATTCATAAAACCTTTCAAAGCCTAGTTGTCAAGTAACTAAGTGGTAGTTACCTACATGTATGTACTAATACATGTAGTTGACAACTAGCTTTAATGGTAAGGTACTATAAACATAGTCTTGCCGAAAGGCATGTTATAACAGTGCTTGTACATGTAGACATAATCATTTCCTTTGAAAATCCTCTTCTTACACCTTTAATTTGGCATACTATTTGGCACGTTGTCAATTCACAAAAAATAGTTTGCTTCGGTAAAGGGAGTAAAGACGTGCATTTTATCCCATATTTCATTTTGAGATTCATGTTTGTCACTACTATCTAGTCCTGCAAAATCCATGAACCGTTTTGGGACCTCATGTACCCATGCCCAGGATCTAGCCAAGTAGAACTTTCTTGAGTTTGTTACGTGGAACCTGGACCTCACCGTCACGTGCCCAAGCCCAGGATCTAGCCAAGTAGAACTTTCTTGAGTTTGTTACGTGGAACCTGGACCTCACCGTCACATGCCCAAGCCCAGGATCTAGCCAAGTAGAACTTTCTTGAGTTTGTTACGTGGAACCTGGACCTCACCGTCACGTGCCCAAGCCCAGGATCTAGCCAAGTAGAACTTTCTTGAGTTTGTTACGTGGAACCTGGACCTCACCGTCACATGCCCAAGCCCAGGATCTAGCCAAGTAGAACTTTCTTGAGTTTGTTACGTGGAACCTGGACCTCACCGTCACATGCCCAAGCCCAGGATCTAGCCAAGTAGAACTTTCTTGAGTTTGTTACGTGGAACCTGGACCTCACCGTCACGTGCCCAAGCCCAGGATCTAGCCAAGTAGAACTTTCTTGAGTTTGTTACGTGGAACCTGGACCTCACCGTCACATGCCCAAGCCCAGGATCTAGCCAAGTAGAACTTTCTTGAGTTTGTTACGTGGAACCTGGACCTCACCGTCACGTGCCCAAGCCCAGGATCTAGCCAAGTAGAACTTTCTTGAGTTTGTTACGTGGAACCTGGACCTCACCGTCACATGCCCAAGCCCAGGATCTAGCCAAGTAGAACTTTCTTGAGTTTGTTACGTGGAACCTGGACCTCACCGTCACATGCCCAAGCCCAGGATCTAGCCAAGTAGAACTTTCTTGAGTTTGTTACGTGGAACCTGGACCTCATCCTCTGAGTCAGCGTCTTCACTGCTGCTACATGACTCTGAGCTGCTCCTACGACTAGCAGGCGAGCACTCCGGTGAGCATAGGTACTGCATTAGAGGAAGACGATACTTGCCACAGAAATCCACAAACTTGACGTGCTGGACGCGGGCATTGAAATAGACACCTGAAAAACACAAGAAAATTATGCTTTTGTAAAGCTAATATGGATAGATAGTACATGGGTTTCTCCAGAATAGAATATTTTTTCAATCAAAAACCACACAATTCAAACCATGAGAACTTGTAAAAGAATGCATTGTATCCCACTTCCATTTAATGAATGTACATTTTCTTATGATAACAAATTCCCAGACTTGCCTATTAAAATATATGACAGAAATGACCAAAAAATATGTAGCATTTAAAATATCTTTACATGTCATGAAGTCATGTGAATGGTGTGATGATGGTATTATTTGTATCATTTGTACATGCAGAACTTTCTTTACACTTTGACTATTTAAATATATCTATTCTTATACCAAAGTTAAAGGAGAGTACCAAAGTAAAGGGAGAGTACCAAAATTAATGATAATACTGACTACCAAGTATTAACTTGTATGTACATCTACATGTAAATCTTGCATCACAATTTACTTGAACTTTGACTTCCGTAACTCATATTGTTATTTTGCTGCGTCACTATTTAGAATATGATTAAAAAGCGGTCGGTACAGATCAGGACAGGTACTAGGTAAACAATGTTTTATGCCACATAACTTCACCTTGGGCTTACGGTAGCTATCTACGTGTGCCCAAAGTAGGCTGAATAAATATTTATAATCATCATCAAGGATGAATGCAAGATGTTTGCTCAATAAACCAAGTTCATACTGTATGTCGGGTTCAGGTTCATTGTTTCAAATATTAATCAGTAACTTGACTGATGACATGTGAACTGTACATGTACATGTACATGTAAGACAAAACTTCAGAAGACAGAATTTCAGAATACATGTACATGTACATGCACATGTACAGGTTTTGTATGTATGTGTTCTGTTATCAGACAGACATTAATACCCAGCTGAAAATGATCCTGAAGTCTCTTCACAACAGTTACATGTACTTCATGAATGTTGCCATAATGAAAGTCTCAATTCAGTATTTAATCTTTTGAAAATGTGGATCATCAAATCCTTGTGGAAATAAGATCTTCATCTCTTACTTGTATAACGACATACATGTACACCCCTTTTTTGTTTGTTACTTTTACAAAGGAATTTAAACCAAAAAAAAAAGGGGGGAGGGGGGGGGGGAGGCACTTTAAAGCACGGAGCATACCGGTATATAATATTGTCATTCTTTCCACCAAGGCAGGCATACAAGTTGGGTACAATTGTAAGGCTACATGTACATAATTTGTGTACGTTCTCTCTTACACTAAAATAAAGCTATGATGCTGAAACCTACCATAGCATTTTGGATTCAGACAATGCCTAGCAGAATCCAAGTACAACATCACCTCTCCAGGCAGGTCCTCTTTGGTGTAATGAACTTGGTTGTTCTTCACACAGCGTGCTGCTAACTCCAGCAGGGTAGGTGGGTTCCATGTCAGATCACGAACAAAGCGAACAACCAGTGGGTTACCCCTCAAGCTGAGCTCACACAGCTCCGTGAGTGTGATGATCTCTGGGGGAAGGATTGTCAGGTGATTGTTATGAAGACTCAAGGATCGTAGCTGCTTGAGTTGGACCAGTTCAGCTGGGAGAGATGCAAGACGGTTGTCACAGAGCACCAGGGAGAGTAGTTTTTGAAGGTTACCAACATTTGGTGGAAGAGTGACAAGATGGTTACCACCCAGATACAGATGCTCTAATCTGTCAATAAAACCACACAAATTATACATGTATCATTCCTGTGCATGATTTCTTCTTCTTCTTCTTCTTATGGATAATCTGCCTCCTTCAATAATGAAGATTCTCGCAGATGTACATGTACACTGGGGTGCAGGTGGACCAGTCCATGCTGCATAATCTACTACATGTACAAGTACATTTTCCACAATTTAACAAATTTAAAAGCCTTATTCTTCATAACTCTGAAGAAAACAGCAGTTTTGTCCACAATATTGGAATTAAAAAAATGTACTTCTACTTCTACTTCTACGACGATACTCAGCTGGATCCATAAGTCAGAATGTAGTGCTGATCTAGACATAGCACGAAGAAAATATCCCGTTTATCCATGTACAATGAGTTTACGAGCCCTGCATAGTGACATACTGTAGAGTAGGATTTTAACTAAAGAACAGTACAAACTTTACATGAACTATGTATAGGGATTTCCCTTTACCAAACTCTCCAGATAATCAACAAATTCTCTCGATTTAAAACCCAACTGCAGCAGCTGGGGAAATCTCACATTTAAGCACCAATACTCGATACGACAATAGTAACACATGTACATGCAAGAAGGTTTCTCGGATAACAAAAGAAATGACATGACATCCAAGTCCATTGTTTTCAAAATTGCAAAAGGGAGTAGGTCTAGAGGTTTAGAGTAGAAATAGATGTACATGTTAATACTCGGCGGGCTTCAGAACAAAGTATTCATCAACATTATGATGCATTTGTGCAGTCGATCATGAAGAGAAAACTTCAATATTTTTATCTCGACTTGGAAATGCAAACCTGGCTTGATTTTGAAGCAAAAACTAGCCATGCAGAGCTCCAGAGTCAATTCATTAATTGCTTTACGTAAATTCATTCCCATGGATTTTGTTTCTTGTTTCAGCAGATCTGCTGGAGCAGGAGTGTGAGCCGAGATTGGGCGAATTATGGAGTGGATTTTGTCAATTTCACAATCTGGGTCTGGTTTAGTCTAGATAGTAGAGTATGTATGATAGACTCTACTTTAGTTTAGTCTAGATCTAGATAAACTACATCTCGTAAAACTGAACTTCCTAATAATGCTATAATAAAGTTCTTGAGCTTACCTAACTAGCTTTTCAATTTCTGGTGGAATATCTCTCATTCGGTTACCGCCCATGTGAAGGACCCGTAACGAAGATATTTCAGTCAACTGCACTGGGAAGTTTAGAAACAAATTGCCACTAAAATTGAGAGTTTGTAATGCTGGACATGATCCAAAGTCTTTGGGCAAAGAGTCACCGTTCAAATGATTGTTTTTGCATGTGAGGATTCGCAAATGTTTTAATTGTAACAACTCGTCTGGCAGTTTTACAATTCTGTTCGTGCTCAAGTCCAGCTCGATTATGTTCACAAAATTATTTATGCTTGCAGGAATAGTGGCTATATTATTCCTACTGACGTCGATGATTGCTAGCCTCTCCTTGTGCTCAATTATGTCGTCAAATGGGAAAACATCAATGCCTTGTCGGGAATACATGGCTACTCTAGGATCGTTGTTCGACTCTGTTTCCGACATGCCAGACCGCTTCGAACGAAGCGTTCTTCGCATTCCTCGCCTCGCCCGTCTCTCGGCTCAGTTTTGCAGCGTCACTGTAGCTTACTAGCTAACGGCGCGACCTCAGCTCCGTTCTCGTCCTAACTTGACGCTTTGCCAGCTCTCGAGTGAAAATCCATTGTCAAAATGTGTGCAGAAAGTCGACTAACAAATTAAAGAGAGGTAAAATGTAGTTTGATCGACGACAGTCTGATCTCTGATCTAAGCTGGCACTTACAGGAAAGGAGATTCCGACATTGAAACTCACAAAGACACCGATGGCAATTTCAGTCTGATATAATTACGATTACTTAGTCTTAGGTTCATACTACTGTATACTATTCGTATACTATTATCTCCTTTATGTTATTAAATAATTAATTTCTTGAATTGAAAATATTTCTAGATTGCAATTGAATAACAGTACAGCGTATTTTGGGAGATAAATGTGTGTTCCAGGTTTTTGAAATGAAGTATGTTGCGTTACGTTCAAACTTGTACATGAACGAACGTATCGAACTTAGACCACAACGTTCACGAAATCACTCGGTAGAAGCGTGATCACGTAGCCATGACGTCATGAACGATGAATAAAGTAGGTCACAAGTCAGTGTCAGGCAGGCGCGGATCCAGGATTTCTTAGGGGAGGGGGCCCAACTTTTTTTTTTTTTTGCTCTCGAAAATTTGAAAATCGCGCCGGCCGAAAAGTCGCTCAGGGGGGGGGGGGGGGGGGGGGGGGGGGGGGGGGGGGGGGGTTAGTGAGCACAATTTTTTTTTTTGGTCCTTGAAAATTTTAAAATTTGCACCCCCCCCCCCCCCTTGAGCGCCAGGGGGGGGGGTCCCCAAAAAAGGTAAAAATCGCGTGATTTTGCATGATTTTTTTCTCAAGGGACCCTGGATCCGCCACTGGTGTCAGGAGTAGTATAGAGAACAGCAACAACGTTGATTTGCAGTTTGCACCGTGAATAGGTCATTTTCGTAATGACTTTGTAATCAAAATATTTGCCTCGTTACAAATTAGTTTATTAACCCGTTACGAATATTGGTATTTCCAAAGTCAGAATCAGGGAGGGAGGGGGGGGGGGTACAGAATGCGTATTGCATGATGTACGCGTTGTTATAGAATATAGGCACTGGTTATATAGCTATAGGTAGGACACTCCATTATGTAGGCTATTCCTTCGCTTACAGTTATTATTTTTTTTTTAAATCAAAAATGCCCTTTCACATAATTAAGTGCCAATTTTTCTGTGGAATAGGTGCACGGTACTACATTTTTATAGGTGCCCCTTACCCATCGAACGAGTGCCCCCTTTGATCTAATTGCTTCTACTCAAATCTAAGGTGAGCCTCACTTTGACAAGTGCCCCTTTTCCTTGTTATAACCGCCCCTTCCCCTATTAAGTGCCACTTCTCACCTTTAATAAGCGCCCCTTTTATTTTTACATGAGCCCCTATGTTTCCTTTGAAAAAAAAAACACCCATCCCCTTCTGATAAGAGCCCGGCTTTTCCTTTTTGATAAGAGCCCATAAATGCACCTTTACACATCTGATGAATGTGCCTACGAAAGTCTGATAGTTAGTGCCCCTTTTCCATTCTAATAAGTGCCTTTTCATCTCTGATGAGTGCCCCTTTTCAGCCTAATATATAGGTGCGAGATGGAGTGCCCCATTTTCACCTCTATGAATTGCCCTTTTTTGTTTTCTCTAAATGACACGTGCTCCTTTTTTCTTCTTCTAATAAGTGTCATCTTTTCCCATTTGATAAGTGACCCACTTTCCTTTCATCATAATGTGCCCCTAATTTGAAGCGACTAAGAGCAAACTTTCCTGTGATTTCCACAAATCTCGATCTCTCGCATTTAAGTAGATTCATATTCAGATTGTGTTGTCATTTGGTCCTAAATAGTTGATATAACTACAGTGTATGTTTCAAACTTTCTATTTAAAGGTCTTTTAAGTTTTCATGATTTATGCTTCAGGATTTGTTTTTCTCTCCTGAATTAGACTTTTATTATAAGATGTAATTTTTCGCACTGCGACCTCAGAAATCTTATTCTTGTAATATTCAGACCATCCCACCCAACTGCAAAGTATAATGCTTAAGCATCCGTGTATCTTGAGCCATGTAAATAGAGAAACAACTATACTGAAATCATACCTGATAGTGATGACAATGTAGGGTAGGATCATCATTAATGTCTGGACATTGTATATTTTCGCTTTTAGGTTTCCCTTTGTAATAATAATAATAGCTCGTTCTTATATAGCGCTTTTCAGGACCGGAGGCCCTCTCAAAGCGCTTTACAGATAAGTATATTATTACCCCGGTCATTGGATTCAGGCTTACCCGCACACAATGTATGCACATTCTCCACTCCCTGGGGAGCATTCCAGCCAAGTGTCATTTTTACAAGCGCACACTTGCTAATCGAACCACATTAGCTTTCGCATCCTACCGGGTACCCATTTAACACCTGGGTGGAGAGTGGCAAATGTAGATCAATGTCTTGCCAAAGGACAATAGTGCTGCGGCGGGACTTGAACCACGGACCTTGTGATCCACAGTCCGGTGACTTATCCACTCGTCCACAACACCTAGGTGCCCCCTTTCCCCTCTAGAAAGTGCCCTTTTTGTTGGTGCCCCCATGCACTTTGAAAGACGCTCCGCCGCTCCTGGCTACTGACCCCAACAAGGTCGCTTTTATTATAGTGAGACACAGAGACATACAACATGTATCACCGAATTTGACATTCATATCTCAAACGTTTTTGAGATTTTTGTTTTTTGAGAAAACATGATACCTCCAGCACCACCTTTGGTGGGATGAGGCATAACGTCGCAGGGACTCTAGGTCAGTATACCTATCGATATCATTCGTTTATCATGATATTAATTCGTGCACACGCACAAGCCCAGGACACAAGCAAGTAACTTCCTGAGGAAATGAGTCCAGAACGATATGAGAAACTTTTAAACTAGAGCTAATTCATACGAGTTCACTTTGCGTTCAACATAGGCTAAACGAGGCAAATAATGGCATGGTATAGAAAATCCGCATTAGGTGCATGGGACACATCAATCAGTGGCGAATCAAAATTATTGATTAACAGTGTGAGTGTGGGGGAGAGGAGAGGGGGGGGGGGCGTACACCGACTGTCGAATCTCATCGATTTAATTATTTTAATCATTCTTCTGAACAAAAAGAAAGGGAAAACAAATCTTTGTCAGATTTCTTTAATTATATTGAAAACATATCCACATTAGTTATACAAATATTAACAAATTTATTATTATTTATAAATTTATTATTAATATTATTATTATTATTACAAATAATAATAGAAGGGGGAACGAAAAAGAAAAGGAATATGAAAAAGAAAGAAAAGAAAAGAAAATTACAAAAATGCTTACTGTCCAAACTGGTTTTAACCCGTCATTTTCTTCTGGTTCCATCATGTATACCGTCCATCCATGAGTTCGCTACATGTTTTAGGTAATTCCCGATCGTTTGTTTGATCTGTACGACCTACAGGGCCATCAACCAAGGAGGTAGAATTCTAACTCCGTTCATCAACCCCTCAATGTGTGCTGCATGTAAAAACGTAAAAGGAGAAACCCAAATATTTCCAGGTTAACTTTCTCACTTTACTTTACTTTAATCCAGCGATGCTATAGGACTATGCATGTGTTCATCGATGGTAGATGTCTACTTCAGTGGTTATACATTAATCCTTGTCATTTCAAATTAAGTAAGTGGGAAAGGGGAAAAAAAGGGTGCAAACTGTCTTGCAATATCAGCTTATACAGCGTATCGAAGCTCATATATAGACAAGATCATGGTTGTCTAGTCAATTCTAAAAACAGTTTACAGAAGTTGTTTAGAACTATAAATGATACAACATATTAATGTTTTAAAACAGTTGCAGCTGATCAAATGCAAATTTGCCAATCTATTATTTATATTTTAATCATCTATCACATTTGTGCCGAGGTAAGAATTTCATAAAATATTATCCCAGGATGCAAAGTACATCTGCGCTTATAGACATCTTCGACACAAGTTATACCCCTCCCCCAGTGGCGGATCCAGAGGGGGGGCACAGGGGGCACGTGCCCCCCCCCCCCCCGGCCAAAACAAAAAGAAAAGGAGAAAAAGGAGGGGGAAAGAAAAAGGAGAGGAAAAAGAAAAAAAGGGAAGAGAGAAAGAAGAAGAAAAGAGGGAGGAAAGAAAAGGGGAGAGGAGAAAAAGGAGGGGAAAGGGAAAGAGAGAGGAGAGAAAAGGCGGAAAAGAAGAAAGAAGGAAAGACGGAGGAGAGAAAAGGGGGAAAAGGAGAATAATGAGAAGGGAAAAGAAAGAAAGGGGGATGATATTATAGGATTTCCCGGCCAAATTCGCGAGTTTGTCATCAGTCAAATTAATTTATCTTGCGTTCAAACTCGACGGTTTTAGTGCAGTCAGGTATATCTCGGGTTTATATTCCCTTTTCTAGTTTTCAAATCTATTGAATTTTCGTTAGAATCTACGTATGTTTCATTCAAATTAATGAACAATGTGCTTCTTTCGCTATTTGGTCATTCGATTTGGCGCAACACGATTTTCTGACAACGCGACGGTGTACTTCTAGCATTCTAATTCATTTGTAGCATTCAAATTAGCACTTTGTGCACTTAAATTGATGGTCAATATACATTTCTCGTTTATTACACACTTTTTATAGCTCATCCTTTTCTTTCAAAATTGTTTTTTCATGTGTATTTCATCATATTTCATTTTCTCGCATTTATACACTTATACTTATTAGATTTATCTGATATTCATCAGCATTTCAGTTTGATTGTTAAGAAGGAAAAAAAAAATTGCATCTACGGACATGATGGTTTCAGTATATTTGTAAATGTTCATGTAAGGAAGTTGTTTGTCTTATGTTTCAATATAAATTTATCATAATTTCATCATAATTTCATTATGGAAAAAGGGTACAATATTGTGACTGGGGTAGGGACTAGAGTCAACAATTTGAACATGATTCATTATTTAGCCATGTCTTTAGCCATCGATCTGCTGGCGGGCAAGTAAACTATGAAACTCTTTAAGAAAAACAGAGGGGTGTGCTGGGTATAAGAGACGATGTGAATTACTTTTGTAAAATTCCGAGTCTGTAGTAAAAAGGGGGCGATTGAGGGTACGGTACCCCAATCTTTTGCCGGGTATATGAACATGTCCGTGCAGAAATGCCGTATCCCTTGATTTTGCCCCTTCTTTACTTTATGTCTGACTACACCCATCTGCATTGTCCTGAAAATAAATAAATGGAA